ACATTCGATCTTGACAATAATACTAATACCAACAAAACAGCCATTCAGAGAGAAAGTAATAAAAATAACACTCATAGTAAAAAATCGAAAATGATATAAATTACTCATTAGCCCCATTCTGGTCACAGACAATGATCTCGCGGAGCCCTTTTTTGAAGGTGCTCAGTGGCAACGACTTAAGAGAACTTGGCAACGGGTTGTAAAGCCTGGGTAGATTAAAAGAGAAAGACCGTTGAAACAAAACCGAGCTGTGCTGAGGTGGAGTAATCAAGCTCTTGGATCTGATGTTCAAATTATGAACATCAGTCCGGAATGATATTTTATTATAAAGATAAGAAGGCGACTTAAATAAAAGTAATTTATGATAAAAAGTTAACAGATGTAATTTCCTCCTGTTCGCCATATTAAGCCAACCCACCTCCTTCAAAAAACATGTATCAGTCTCAGACAGGCGTTCTGAACTTTCTGAATACGGCCGGCAGTTACCTGATCCAGACAAGTGCCGTATACCGTGTCGCAAAAATTAAATTGGCTGAGTACCAAGGCGTCACACAGTCTCGCCCTAATGTCCCTAGATAAAAAGTTTTTAATATTATAAATAAGCTTCAGCGCCACAAATGATTTACAGACCTTTAAAGTAACATGATCCCTAAATCTGACATCACAATCCATTAGGAGGCCAAGATTACGACAACAACCCGCAACGCCCAAGTCACCACTATCCAGCTCAATTCTAAAATGAGAGCAAGCGTTGCGGGCATTGCGTCTACCAAACAACAACATAACCGATTTTAAGGGATTCAATCTTAAGTTGTGACTGGCAGCCATTTTGGTAAACCGAGCAACATCACCCGCAATCCTAAGTTGGGCCACAGGAGCATCATCCTGTCTGAAAGAATAATATATCTGAGAATCATCGGCATAAAAATGAGCTTTAGAATATTTGAGACAATTTTGGAGACCAGAAGTATAAATGCTAAATAAGAGCGGACCCAATACAGAACCTTGTGGTACACCGGCCATTAATCCACGGGCAGCCGAGACGATCATGCCACAGGAAACGACCTGTCTTCGATCAGAAAGAACCCAATGTACTTTAGAATATAATCCAAAACTGTATAATTCACCGTATCAAATGCTTTCGAAAAGTCGAAAAGAATTAAATAGTATATCATCAGTTATATGCATCAATGCTGTACCACATCCATGATTTTTACGAAACCCAGACTGTGTCGTCGGCAAAACACTGCAACCCTCAACAAAAAATCTCATCTGAAAGGCCATGATTTTTTCCAAAATCTTAGACAAAACAGGCAAAATACTAATCGGCCTAAGGTCACCACACGAAGTAGGATTGGCTATCTTAGGCAGTGGGATCACTTTAGCAGTTTTCCAAGCGTCTGGAAAAACTGAGTTAGCTAAACAGTAGTTTATAATGTGTTACAAAAGGTAGAATATGGGGACAGCAAAGATGCAACATTAAGGATGAAACACCATCAAAACCAACCGAGCCTGATTTTAACTTCAAAAGTAGTGAACCGACAATGAGTAGGTATAAGTAGGTATAATATTTTTGATGTACTACACTCACTACATTTTGAATATATTAAGTGTTATTTACAGTTATCAACCTAATCAAAGATAAAATTTCAAGATATGATAAGTATAGCAAGCCTATATTACCTATACATACTGATTATGAAATTTTATCACTGATGACCGCGACATACTGTGCGTTTAATTTTAGTTGCTACAAGTGTTCTATTATATATATTCCAAAAACATTGCTCCATTGCTCTCTTTCACTTTTGCTCTCAGATGCATAAGTATAGTATGGCAGATAATAGAATATTAAAAGAGGAGCAATAATCAAGATATCTGCTATAACATCTAAAATCAAACGCACTGCACAGTAGTCTAATTTAGTATACTCTACTTAATATCTTTAAGATATAATGAGTGTGGCAGGTTTCAAGCAAAATACTACATTTTCTGTTTTGAGTTTAATCGAGATCGCTTGTGGTCCAGCATGTAGGATTTTGCCTCATAAAGCCGAGGTCGGTTTGCATCAATAATACTGCCTCGGCCGCAAGCGACCTCGGCTTAATCACATGAAACCATACATTTCCACCAAAATCAGGTAATGTCATAGATTTTCGTGCCTAGTCCCGCCGAGGTTGCTTGCGGGCGAGGCGGTACAGCATGCATTATAACATTGCCTCGGCCGCAAGCGACCTCAACTTAATCAAATGAAAACATACATTTCAGCCATAATCAATTAATGTCATAGATTCTTGACTCTAGTTTCGCCGACGTCGCTTCACAACATTAGCAATCAAATAAAGAAAAGATAAAGATAATTAATTTCTTGTGATATATATGATAAATTGATTATGAAAAATTACATTAATTATAAAAATGAGTAGGTAGTAAAGAAAATGAATTCAAAAGTTACTCTATTTTAGTCTACTATTTTTTAGATAATCTTAAATGAGATTCTAGGAAGGATTCTAGTTCGGTCGAGTGCACAATTAAAGACTTTAATTTATTCTGAGAGACCGGAGACGTGCATAAAAAGGTCCTCGGAGAGCGTAAACAGGGTGCACCCTTAGCGGTGTGGGGGGATTGGCAAGGAGATCACCCCAAGGGTGGTATCTTTGAGGGGTCGATCTTCGCCCCTTGTTTGTTGTTTACCCCATAATGGTATCATAATAAGTTCGACGTCTACGTACGTAGGATCCAAGAACGGGTCCTGTTTGCGCTAAGGATTTGGTGTATAGTGAAGGAGAAGGGTGGGGGTAGGTTATTACCTTTTCGGTAAAGGTTGGAGGGAGTCCCCCCTCCTTGAAAAACTCCGAAGACGATGACCGTGCGGAGGTATTCAAATAGAAACGAGGCGAGTAGGATAAATAATAGTAGAGAGACGGGATAAATAACGGTCGGGTAATAATAAAAAAAGGAGAAAAAATGCCTTAGGGGTCGTTTGAAACATATGGTGCGATATTTGCTAACTTTGCGTTGCGATTCCCATTTCTTTCTAAGAAGCCGTAAGCACTTTTCTAGTTTGTCTAGCGAAGTGTAAACATCGGTCAAACGCGGGAGGATTTTGAACCCGTACGATCTTTGTCTGAAAAGATTTGCCTAAACCAATCTTAATTAACGCTAATAACAATGATGCAGCTATAAGGAATTCGCGGTGATAGCACTTTCAATGGTTTATATACGTGCTTTTCAAAAAAAATAATAAAAAGAATTTTTTTTCTTGACGTTTTCATCATCATGATTTTTTAATGTCGGGTTTTGTATCTAAAAACAAAGTAAACATGGGTAATAAAAAGGGCACGTACACTCTGTATTGATTGGTGCAATATAAATAATACCAACAATTATTCAAATAGTAAAAATGGACCGTTAAATAGGGCAATTAAAATTAATGAACACAATCGACAACGACGGCGGAGCACCGTATTTGCGAAAATTAAAATAAATTTAACATAAATAAATAAACAACAAACAAATAAATTATTATATTTTTCATCGAACCGTCGCGAATTCCCCACTCATTTATCGTGTATTAACCGTCACGTCATTACAGTCTAATTAAACCGTCCAATTTTATACCGTGTTATCACATTTCTTTTATATAACAAATATGCAGAATAAAATTATATCAAAAAAATTATTTTTTATTGATAAAATTTTAAAAATATTTCGATAAAATTATTTTTGTAAAAAATATTTATTTATTTTTAACGATTAATTATATATTATCAATAAACAATACAGATAATAATCTAACATATTTCTTATCTACTTGATTAGTGGATTGTAGTTAAAAATTTTATCGAATTATTTATCTAAATATTTAGTTGTTATCTAAAAAATGACCCAAAAACTATTACATTATTAGATTCAATATTATCAATGTATTGTATTAAAAAATATTAATCAGTTATTGTATTAGATTAAATGTTAGTAAATAAATTATTTAATATATCGTATATATACTATCAAAAATGAAATTTTGTAAAGTTGATATAATTATAAAAGGGAAAAGGCGAAGAATTTTAATTTTAAATTTGCAATAAATAATAGAAATTATCAGAGGACAAAATAAAGGGGCGCTTTTATAAATTGCGTCTGATGTAGAACCCTTCATTCCCCAAAGCGTTAGTCATTTCTCAAGCTGATGTTAATCTTCAATTACCCCCCGGTTTTTGGGGTAACAATTACGCCAATTTTGGGTCAGAATATTATTATTGCGGAATATAAACCAGCTCGAAGCAAAAAAATAATAATAAAGACGCAGATTTACTTGACTACTTCATAAACATTTTTATTAACTTATTAACTTATTTAATGAAATAAAATTTACTTACTGATGAATTAAAAACCGTCGGTTGTTGTCGTCGCTGCATGTTAACTGTGTTTGACAACTCACAAAAATGATTAAAAGAAACGATTTTACCTACACGAAATAAAAATAGATATAAAGAATTCTTTTTTAATATCGTAACACGAAACACCTCTTTGATGATAAAAACAGTTGCGACCAATTGTCGACTTCGATGTTCGTGTTGATTTGCAATGGCATAACAATTTTTGGGACATTCTCGTTCAATCGTGAATTCTTGCGATAAAGTGTCTTCAAATAAAAAAAATAATCAATTAAAATAATAAAAAAAACGTGAGGTTTAATCGAATTCGTTAGGAGCCGAATTGGTACGAACGTCCCGAAAGCTTTTTCGTAAAAGCCGTAGATAATATTTTCTAAATATAAGCGGGCTCACGGGGCCGTTATTTGTGTGTTTGTTTATTCTAAATTCACATTTCAGCCTCTATGCGGCATTTAAAAATAATAAATTGAATTCTTTCCCGTTAGCGTCATTTATTTTTCGCGTCAATACCACCTATGTGTTTTCCTTCGCCATTATACTGCAATAATTTACGCTCTCGTACAAATAAACATTAAACAAAAAAAAAGTATTTCGCCTACTCACACTATATCGAGATTGTCTTAAAGGTGCTGGCCATGGAGATGCTGCTCCTGTCGAAAAATGATTTTTCGTCCACGTTGTGTTTTCGAAAGGGTTATCACCAATATGGCCCTATAACAATAAATAAATAATATATCACATTTATAATTATAATTGTTTTTAATTCATAATTTTCTTGAGATATTTATAAATAATATATAATTCATTACTTAATTAATAAAATTAAAGCTACACGCATTTTTTACATTTATAAAAGAATTAAATCAAAAATTTTTTTCCTTAAAATTTAATACATAAAACAACTCGATTGCCATTTTTTTTATTAAAATATAATCTTTTTGCTTCAATTTGGTGTATAACTCATTACTTAATTCTTAAAATTAAAGCTTGCACGATTTTTTTTAATTTTGCACTATATTAAGATATCGAAAAAATTAAATTGTTTTCAGGATTCTTTTCTAGAAAACTTTATTTATAAACTAATTCGATTACTATTTTTTTTATTAAAATATAATCTTTTAGCTTCAATTTGGTGTATAACTCATTACTTAATTCTTAAAATTAAAGCTTGCACGATTTTTTTTAATTTTGCACTATATTAAGATATCGAAAAAATTAAATTGTTTTCAGGATTCTTTTCTAGAAAACTTTATTTATAAACTAATTCGATTACTATTTTTTTTATTAAAATATAATCTTTTAGCTTCAATTTGGTGTATAACTCATTACTTAATTCTTAAAATTAAAGCTTGCACGATTTTTTTTAATTTTGCACTATATTAAGATATCGAAAAAATTAAATTGTTTTCAGGATTCTTTTCTAGAAAACTTTATTTATAAACTAATTCGATTACTATTTTTTTTATTAAAATATAATCTTTTAGCTTCAATTTGGTGTATAACTCATTACTTAATTCTTAAAATTAAAGCTTGCACGATTTTTTTTAATTTTGCACTATATTAAGATATCGAAAAAATTAAATTGTTTTCAGGATTCTTTTCTAGAAAACTTTATTTATAAACTAATTCGATTACTATTTTTTTTATTAAAATATAATCTTTTAGCTTCAATTTGGTGTATAACTCATTACTTAATTCTTAAAATTAAAGCTTGCACGATTTTTTTTAATTTTGCACTATATTAAGATATCGAAAAAATTAAATTGTTTTCAGGATTCTTTTCTAGAAAACTTTATTTATAAACTAATTCGATTACTATTTTTTTTATTAAAATATAATCTTTTAGCTTCAATTTGGTGTATAACTCATTACTTAATTCTTAAAATTAAAGCTTGCACGATTTTTTTTAATTTTGCACTATATTAAGATATCGAAAAAATTAAATTGTTTTCAGGATTCTTTTCTAGAAAACTTTATTTATAAACTAATTCGATTACTATTTTTTTTATTAAAATATAATCTTTTAGCTTCAATTTGGTGTATAACTCATTACTTAATTCTTAAAATTAAAGCTTGCACGATTTTTTTTAATTTTGCACTATATTAAGATATCGAAAAAATTAAATTGTTTTCAGGATTCTTTTCTAGAAAACTTTATTTATAAACTAATTCGATTACTATTTTTTTTATTAAAATATAATCTTTTAGCTTCAATTTGGTGTATAACTCATTACTTAATTCTTAAAATTAAAGCTTGCACGATTTTTTTTAATTTTGCACTATATTAAGATATCGAAAAAATTAAATTGTTTTCAGGATTCTTTTCTAGAAAACTTTATTTATAAACTAATTCGATTACTATTTTTTTTATTAAAATATAATCTTTTAGCTTCAATTTGGTGTATAACTCATTACTTAATTCTTAAAATTAAAGCTTGCACGATTTTTTTTAATTTTGCACTATATTAAGATATCGAAAAAATTAAATTGTTTTCAGGATTCTTTTCTAGAAAACTTTATTTATAAACTAATTCGATTACTATTTTTTTTATTAAAATATAATCTTTTAGCTTCAATTTGGTGTATAACTCATTACTTAATTCTTAAAATTAAAGCTTGCACGATTTTTTTTAATTTTGCACTATATTAAGATATCGAAAAAATTAAATTGTTTTCAGGATTCTTTTCTAGAAAACTTTATTTATAAACTAATTCGATTACTATTTTTTTTATTAAAATATAATCTTTTAGCTTCAATTTGGTGTATAACTCATTACTTAATTCTTAAAATTAAAGCTTGCACGATTTTTTTTAATTTTGCACTATATTAAGATATCGAAAAAATTAAATTGTTTTCAGGATTCTTTTCTAGAAAACTTTATTTATAAACTAATTCGATTACTATTTTTTTTATTAAAATATAATCTTTTAGCTTCAATTTGGTGTATAACTCATTACTTAATTCTTAAAATTAAAGCTTGCACGATTTTTTTTAATTTTGCACTATATTAAGATATCGAAAAAATTAAATTGTTTTCAGGATTCTTTTCTAGAAAACTTTATTTATAAACTAATTCGATTACTATTTTTTTTATTAAAATATAATCTTTTAGCTTCAATTTGGTGTATAACTCATTACTTAATTCTTAAAATTAAAGCTTGCACGATTTTTTTTAATTTTGCACTATATTAAGATATCGAAAAAATTAAATTGTTTTCAGGATTCTTTTCTAGAAAACTTTATTTATAAACTAATTCGATTACTATTTTTTTTATTAAAATATAATCTTTTAGCTTCAATTTGGTGTATAACTCATTACTTAATTCTTAAAATTAAAGCTTGCACGATTTTTTTTAATTTTGCACTATATTAAGATATCGAAAAAATTAAATTGTTTTCAGGATTCTTTTCTAGAAAACTTTATTTATAAACTAATTCGATTACTATTTTTTTTATTAAAATATAATCTTTTAGCTTCAATTTGGTGTATAACTCATTACTTAATTCTTAAAATTAAAGCTTGCACGATTTTTTTTAATTTTGCACTATATTAAGATATCGAAAAAATTAAATTGTTTTCAGGATTCTTTTCTAGAAAACTTTATTTATAAACTAATTCGATTACTATTTTTTTTATTAAAATATAATCTTTTAGCTTCAATTTGGTGTATAACTCATTACTTAATTCTTAAAATTAAAGCTTGCACGATTTTTTTTAATTTTGCACTATATTAAGATATCGAAAAAATTAAATTGTTTTCAGGATTCTTTTCTAGAAAACTTTATTTATAAACTAATTCGATTACTATTTTTTTTATTAAAATATAATCTTTTAGCTTCAATTTGGTGTATAACTCATTACTTAATTCTTAAAATTAAAGCTTGCACGATTTTTTTTAATTTTGCACTATATTAAGATATCGAAAAAATTAAATTGTTTTCAGGATTCTTTTCTAGAAAACTTTATTTATAAACTAATTCGATTACTATTTTTTTTATTAAAATATAATCTTTTAGCTTCAATTTGGTGTATAACTCATTACTTAATTCTTAAAATTAAAGCTTGCACGATTTTTTTTAATTTTGCACTATATTAAGATATCGAAAAAATTAAATTGTTTTCAGGATTCTTTTCTAGAAAACTTTATTTATAAACTAATTCGATTACTATTTTTTTTATTAAAATATAATCTTTTAGCTTCAATTTGGTGTATAACTCATTACTTAATTCTTAAAATTAAAGCTTGCACGATTTTTTTTAATTTTGCACTATATTAAGATATCGAAAAAATTAAATTGTTTTCAGGATTCTTTTCTAGAAAACTTTATTTATAAACTAATTCGATTACTATTTTTTTTATTAAAATATAATCTTTTAGCTTCAATTTGGTGTATAACTCATTACTTAATTCTTAAAATTAAAGCTTGCACGATTTTTTTTAATTTTGCACTATATTAAGATATCGAAAAAATTAAATTGTTTTCAGGATTCTTTTCTAGAAAACTTTATTTATAAACTAATTCGATTACTATTTTTTTTATTAAAATATAATCTTTTAGCTTCAATTTGGTGTATAACTCATTACTTAATTCTTAAAATTAAAGCTTGCACGATTTTTTTTAATTTTGCACTATATTAAGATATCGAAAAAATTAAATTGTTTTCAGGATTCTTTTCTAGAAAACTTTATTTATAAACTAATTCGATTACTATTTTTTTTATTAAAATATAATCTTTTAGCTTCAATTTGGTGTATAACTCATTACTTAATTCTTAAAATTAAAGCTTGCACGATTTTTTTTAATTTTGCACTATATTAAGATATCGAAAAAATTAAATTGTTTTCAGGATTCTTTTCTAGAAAACTTTATTTATAAACTAATTCGATTACTATTTTTTTTATTAAAATATAATCTTTTAGCTTCAATTTGGTGTATAACTCATTACTTAATTCTTAAAATTAAAGCTTGCACGATTTTTTTTAATTTTGCACTATATTAAGATATCGAAAAAATTAAATTGTTTTCAGGATTCTTTTCTAGAAAACTTTATTTATAAACTAATTCGATTACTATTTTTTTTATTAAAATATAATCTTTTAGCTTCAATTTGGTGTATAACTCATTACTTAATTCTTAAAATTAAAGCTTGCACGATTTTTTTTAATTTTGCACTATATTAAGATATCGAAAAAATTAAATTGTTTTCAGGATTCTTTTCTAGAAAACTTTATTTATAAACTAATTCGATTACTATTTTTTTTATTAAAATATAATCTTTTAGCTTCAATTTGGTGTATAACTCATTACTTAATTCTTAAAATTAAAGCTTGCACGATTTTTTTTAATTTTGCACTATATTAAGATATCGAAAAAATTAAATTGTTTTCAGGATTCTTTTCTAGAAAACTTTATTTATAAACTAATTCGATTACTATTTTTTTTATTAAAATATAATCTTTTAGCTTCAATTTGGTGTATAACTCATTACTTAATTCTTAAAATTAAAGCTTGCACGATTTTTTTTAATTTTGCACTATATTAAGATATCGAAAAAATTAAATTGTTTTCAGGATTCTTTTCTAGAAAACTTTATTTATAAACTAATTCGATTACTATTTTTTTTATTAAAATATAATCTTTTAGCTTCAATTTGGTGTATAACTCATTACTTAATTCTTAAAATTAAAGCTTGCACGATTTTTTTTAATTTTGCACTATATTAAGATATCGAAAAAATTAAATTGTTTTCAGGATTCTTTTCTAGAAAACTTTATTTATAAACTAATTCGATTACTATTTTTTTTATTAAAATATAATCTTTTAGCTTCAATTTGGTGTATAACTCATTACTTAATTCTTAAAATTAAAGCTTGCACGATTTTTTTTAATTTTGCACTATATTAAGATATCGAAAAAATTAAATTGTTTTCAGGATTCTTTTCTAGAAAACTTTATTTATAAACTAATTCGATTACTATTTTTTTTATTAAAATATAATCTTTTAGCTTCAATTTGGTGTATAACTCATTACTTAATTCTTAAAATTAAAGCTTGCACGATTTTTTTTAATTTTGCACTATATTAAGATATCGAAAAAATTAAATTGTTTTCAGGATTCTTTTCTAGAAAACTTTATTTATAAACTAATTCGATTACTATTTTTTTTATTAAAATATAATCTTTTAGCTTCAATTTGGTGTATAACTCATTACTTAATTCTTAAAATTAAAGCTTGCACGATTTTTTTTAATTTTGCACTATATTAAGATATCGAAAAAATTAAATTGTTTTCAGGATTCTTTTCTAGAAAACTTTATTTATAAACTAATTCGATTACTATTTTTTTTATTAAAATATAATCTTTTAGCTTCAATTTGGTGTATAACTCATTACTTAATTCTTAAAATTAAAGCTTGCACGATTTTTTTTAATTTTGCACTATATTAAGATATCGAAAAAATTAAATTGTTTTCAGGATTCTTTTCTAGAAAACTTTATTTATAAACTAATTCGATTACTATTTTTTTTATTAAAATATAATCTTTTAGCTTCAATTTGGTGTATAACTCATTACTTAATTCTTAAAATTAAAGCTNTTAATTTCATCGCAATATCTCAACTAGTTCTTAAGATACGAAGTTTTAAAATTAATGGCTAAAATTTCCAAGATATTGCAATGTTGTATTCTAAAAATCGTGGGATCAAGATTTATAGGAATTAAGAAATACTTTTTTAATTACTAAATCTGGATTAAATTTGCTTCAAAATGCTTTTAATTTCATCGCGATATCTCAATTTGTTCAAGAGATACAAATTTTAAAAATTTAATATTGCTAATGTAACTAAAATTATCGATATATAAGATTAATTCTAAAAATCTTGACATCAAAGAAAATAACTTGTGGTGGGTTGAATCTGGATTACATTTGCTTTAAAATTCTTTTTATTTTATTGCGGTGTTTCAACTAGTTCTTAAGATACAACTTTTTAAAGCTTAAACAAAAATTCTAAAAATCTTGACATCAAGATTTATAGGAATTAAAAAATAATTTTTGGTACACTAAATTTGTTATAAAATGCTTTTAATCTCATCACAATATCTCAACTAGTTCTTAAGATACGAATTTTTAAAATTAATGGTTAAAATTTCCAAGATATTGCNGCTTCAATTTGGTGTATAACTCATTACTTAATTCTTAAAATTAAAGCTTACACGTTTTTTTTTAAATTATATATTAAAATATTGAAGAATCAATTTAATTGATGAAAATATAAAAAAATATATATAATTCGATTTCTATGCTTTCATAGATTCATTATTCAGCAACTCCGTATATACTTGCTGGTCACTGGGGTGAAAAACCTCGTTACAACCCTCTATTGTAGACCCTTAGGGTGCAAGGTCATTGCAAACTGTACGACATCGATTCCAAAATATTTTAAAAACAGTCATTTTGATGAATTATTTGATAAATGTTAAATTGGATGTTAAAACTGTTAATTCCTTTAACGATTTTTTAGATATAACTTGATATATGTATCTAAATCAAAGTTAACAGTTTTTGCTGATATTGAATATACGATCTGGAGCAAACATCACATTTTCCCAGAATTTACGCTATAAGCGTATTAGAAGCCCGGAGTCAGTCCAGTTCGATTATTTGGTGCAGGTGTCGCCCGTACGATATCGTCAATAATACGTGGACAATACCCTGAAAGGGACAGAGGGTGTTTAAATAGGAGAGAGATGGGGTTTCCAACGTAATTATCGATCAACTTATAACTCTTTTTAAGATTCAAACTATAAGAATTCAAAAAGAAAACTGAATAAAATTATTATTTTTTCGCGTCATAAAGTTTTGATGTAAATTTACATCCCGATCTCGTTAAGTATTCTTTCAGTTGATGAACACTCCTCCTTGGTTTATTCTTTTTCTTTTTTTATTTCGGTAAATACTAGCGCCACCCCCGCGAGCTTTACGACCCGCCGTGATTTATATATATAAAACGCGTAGAGAAAATCTCACGTCCGAGATATGGTTGTAAAGCTCCACGCAAACGGGGAATACACTTTATTGCTGAAAAAATACATTTCGAATCGATCATGTTCGTTTCCTCGTTTACATAATTCGACACTTTTCGTAGGAAATATTCGACTATCGTTAGAACTCCCGGACATAAATCTTGATATAACCAAAAAATATTAAAGAAATTAAATTTGTATAGAATTTGTGATTTAGTTAAAAAAAGAGAAGAAAGAGAAGAAACGGTCATCGGATGACCTCAAAGCGATTAAACCGTTCCGAGACCGCAATTCCGTCCCTCTATCCCGATTGGAAAAAATGTTAAAAACTCCGGCATCTGGCAAAAGCGCCCCTGATTAAGTGCAAAGGGATGACTAAGGGCGGCTTCCTGCACAAAGATCGTTGCAAGCGTCAGCACCCCCGTAACGAGATGTGGTCTCTCCTCTTTTTCTATACGAATAAATGAACTTTTCTTTTTCTATTTATTTCAAGATTTAATTTATTAAATAAAAAATCTTTTTACCTGAAACATCGCGCCAATCCCTTATTATATCAACGAAACAATAATCTGATCCCCGTTGAATGTGGTGCGAAAATTACAACAACGAAGCGAACATGCAACTGGTGGAATACCACCAACAAGACAATTTGAAACTAGGTTGAAGGCCCAACTATGCCACGATGTGTTATAGGTACCACACAAAACGATACTAAATGTGTGAAAACGTAAAGGACGATATTTGATTGTTTCAACATAAGAAACTAAAATTAAAATGGCTATTAAAAGTAGTTGTTAGAATTTTGAAACGTTAAAATTAGAATACATTATTAATAAATGAGAATTTTAATGTGCATTGATAAGGTTTTTTTTTATAAAAATAGCATAACAAGTGATTATGACCAATTATATATATCTATATTTATAGGTGATATTAAAAATTTCATTTTAGTCTAACTTTTTAGCAAGACATAAAAAATTAAAAAAAATAATCCTTTTATTGTCTCGTTGCATAAATATTGATGTATATAATTATTTCATAAAAAATTTATGTTTTTCTGTAGCAACAAAACAGCAATGGAAAAAGTGTAACATCACGTACGGCTCGTGTATATCTATAAATCGATATTTCCAACCTGTTTGTCGCTTGAGCGTTGAGAACATAAAAATTCAAAAATATTAGTTTGATTTAGAAAATCGTAAAAAGTGTGAAAATAGATTTTGATATTCGGTATCGAATGTGCGTCACGTAAGCGATGTATGAATGAACAATTAATAAAGTAAGATGTTATTGTTTATTGGGCGCACGTGTTGTTTCGCAAAAACAGCGAAACCGAGGGCGCACATTTACAGAAAACTGTAAATTTCAAAAGTAAACATACTCACATGTCTGTAGGGATTTTGGGCTTCGTGCGAAGGCATCAGGTCAAGCACAGACGGATAACAATCATAGCTCGCCGTTTTCTGAAAATCAGCGGTAAAATCCGAAATGTCAAAATGAGGCGGCCAGGTGTAAGCACGTTGACATTTTCTATGGCATTTAAAACTTGAACAAGTTCAAATCGAAACTTCAAAACAAATATCAATAAATTGAATGAAATCACAAAAAAAATAAAAATAAAGTAGAAAAAAAAATGAAGATTTGCGCGAAAGTCGAAGAGAGTTGAATCACCGGCGCGGCGGGAGTTTGAGTTAAATTTGAATAGCGGAATAGCGTCTCTTCGTAACCGTTACGTAACCGTAGGTCCCTTAGGTGGGGGACGTCCGAATTGCGGGAAGTTTAAAACGCGAGAAACTCGGCTTCGATCCCCGTACGTCAACGTAACCGAGGAAGAAACGTCGCGTTTTTAAACGCTCGGTTATAAAGACCGATGCGTAGGCACAACCAGTCAGAAACATACTGAGTTAGGCACACGTTTCGTGCGGCACATAATGTTGTTTACTGTTTACATGTCTGGCCGCCTCGCCCGTATGAGAGATGTTGTTTACTCGGTTATATTTAGAGTTTAGAGAAATGCAAAGGCAAACTACACCTGCCGCGACAGGACCGTACTTGGCCCAGATTATACGCGTTCAAATAACATTATCGTTCAACTCGAAATCGGTCCGTACCTGTTCGTTACAGTCCCGTAATGAGGTTCTAATTTTCGATAGCGATTTATCGGCGTCGGTGGCGGCAGAGGTAGCGGTGAGAGCGTCGCGTAATTGCCGCGCACGTGTCGCTCCCCCTCTCTCTACACTTCTCCAAAGGCCGTTTTTTCCCTAAAATCAACAATATCCCCCGCGCACAACATTTTCACGTTTTATAATTATAAAATTACGCACGATTGTTAATTATTTCTCTTATTGTTATTTTAATTAAATTATTTATTTTACTTCAATTTCGTTTGATATTAATTTTTTACCCGCGATTTATTGATTCACATCGTACTTAATTTACCAAACGAATTAAAATTGCACCCAAATTATACCAAAACAATTAATCTAAAACCATACAATAAATAATTTTTGTTTTTCTTACCTATCACAACAACATTATTAACTTATTATTATTTTATACACAACAATTTTATAAAAAAAATATTTTTCGTTTCAACAATTTTTTCTTATCAGGAAAAAATTAATTTAATATTCTAATATGTTCCTTTACGAGTAAAACCTTTTTTCAAGCATCGAAAAGATCCCTGGTGATGGCTTAATTTCCGAAACCGGTTTCGAGATACAAATATTATTAAAAATTATCAATATTATGCAAAGACGAATTACAAAAATATTATTTCTGCTACACTAAATCTATTATAAAATGCTTTTAATTTCATCGCAGTATCTCAACTAGTTCTTAAGATACGAATTTTTAAAATTAATGGTTAAAATTTCCAAGATATTGCAATGTTGTATTCTAAAAATCTTGGGATCAAGATTTATAGGAATTAAGAAATAATTTTTTAATTACTAAATCTGGATTAAATTTGCTTCAAAATGCTTTTAATTTCATCGCGATATCTCAATTTGTTCAAGAGATACAAATTTTAAAAATTTAATATTGCTAATGTAACTAAAATTATCGATATATAAGATTAATTCTAAAAATCTTGACATCAAAGAAAATAACTTGTGGTGGGTTGAATCTGGATTACATTTGCTTTAAAATTCTTTTTATTTTATTGCGGTGTTTCAACTAGTTCTTAAGATACAACTTTTTAAAGCTTAAACAAAAATTCTAAAAATCTTGACATCAAGATTTATAGGAATTAAAAAATAATTTTTGGTACACTAAATTTGTTATAAAATGCTTTTAATCTCATCACAATATCTCAACTAGTTCTTAAGATACGAATTTTTAAAATTAATGGTTAAAATTTCCAAGATATTGCAACGTTGTATTCTAAAAATCTTGGGATCAAGATTTATAGGAATTAAGAAATAATTTTTGGATTACTAAATCTGGATTAAATTTGCTTCAAAATGCTTTTAATTTCATAGCGATATCTCAATTTGTTCAAAAGACATGAATTTTTAAAGTTAATGTTAAAATTGTCAATATGTATTCTAAAAGTCGTAGCATCAAGATTAAAAGGAATTAAAAAATAATTTTTGGTATGTTAATACTAGATAAAATTTGCTTCAAATTGTTTTTTATTTCACCGCGATATCTAAATTTCTTCTCTAGATAGGAATTTTTAAAATTTGATAACAGTTTTATCGCGATTTTAAGATGTATCGATTGCGTTTTATCTATAATGGTTTCGATTGTAGCGTTTTGGCCTTAAGTGACCTCGGATTAAATTATATATTATGTAATTAATAAAAAAGGAGGGAAAGTAAAATTAATGAAAGAATTTAGAATTTTGATGTTTATTAAACCACACAGTGGATTATAATAGATTCTACCACATTGTAAAAACGTTAATTAACATTGATTGGAACAAATTGAGCCGCACAACATAAATAAAACAAAAATCTAAGAAACGTTAATAGATAAAAGAGATATATTGTGTAGTTCTCATCAATTATTTATTTATTCATGCCGTGAATATCATTACTAACTTTTGATTACCTTTGCTGAGTTAATTACAATTGAAAATTGGCGCTTTAAAAATTAAATATAAATTGGACTAATTCTTTAATTAATATTCTTAACTCTATATATTGTATTAATGGCTGAAGGCCGAGTGTTAAAAATATCCATAACTATTAATAATTTTGTGAATAATTGGAGATTCTAAAAGAAGTATTTGAAATGTATTAATTTAATAAAAATTGGTTTGTTTAAACGATGTCATTTCTTGTGTAGAATGAGTCACCAAGTTTAATAATTGATTTTACCAGGGAATTTTGCCGTACTCGTCAAACGGCAGATGTCGTAACGTCGCAAGTAAACACGATGTTGTTCCCGTTCGAGCAGTGATAAATACGTAACATTAATTACATATTTTGAGTGTTTTTCTTGCACGATAAAAATAGACCACGCATGAAGGGGCAAAAACTAATACGGCTACTTATACAAATTGAATACGGCAATTACGGCGCCCGTATTGTTATCTATTTATTTGTTTGTGCGTTTATTTGCGTTCCGCGGAACATATTTATTTTCCCATTTATTTATACATGCGCTACGCAGGTCTCAAGGTTGAAGGTTTTTGAAGAGCCTACTGCGCTCCGAACGAACCTCGTCGATGTTATTGTGGCTTTATAACGCCGAGTTATAAACTTTCTATATCCTGGAGAATTTATTAATTTTTATTAAACGTTAAACGTTTTTTTTAAACTTAAAATAATTATTAAATTAAATATGTATAAATTTGAAATCTTTTCATGCGCAATCGCATTCTCCCTTTTAGAACGCTTGAGCATTACTATGCATGCGTGAAAGAATTGTCAACTATATATGTATTGTATATATGTAGTAGATTAGATATACAGGTTGGGTTAAAATGTGGCAACACGGCAAATTACGCGTTCAAATTGAACCGGTCTAAAATCGTACGCAAACAATCCCGGGTGCCTCAAGATACAGGTATAAGGGAATAGGAAAAATTTGGGAAAAGTAAACAAGCAGCTTTGTGGGTCCGGGCCGGGTAGGTCAGGAGGGCCACATTCCCTGTTTAAACAAGATTTTTTCCACGTGAAATTTTTATTTAATTAAATCGAATAAATATGTGAAGGCAGTAAAGATGGTGTTAAGGCCGCTTATTGAGAACCGCTGCGATGCTGAAGGCGTAGGTTCATACTAAATATATATTTGTGTTGTGCTATAAACAAATCGAACTTCCGGCCTCGTGATGTAAACGTTGCGAATTTTGTTATGGTTCGCGAGTGTTTGTTAGATTTCGAGGCTAAAAGACCGGCGTTTCGCGCAAATAAACAGAAGTAGGAGGAGGCAGAGGAGGACCGATAAAACGTTTATCCGGGCTCCCTGAGAATCAGCATTCATATTAACTTGCCGCTCCAAAGGTGCGAAATTATTATAAGGGTGTATTCCGATGAAGCTGCATTAAGGGTCTTCTCGACGCCGCGTGCAGTCGACCGTGTAACAGTCTTCGAAAGCGGTCCTAATAAAAGACGTCTTATGAATAAAAAAAAGAAAGACCCGTCCTCTTTGTTCCTCGCCTTAGAAATCAGCACGGAACGGGAGGGTTTTCCTGCACACGTGACAGTCTCCCGTTTACGCCCATCCTTTTTTTATTTTTATTTTTTTTTCACCCACACATGGCAAGACAGGTGCTAGCTTTTTTTGACGCAACATGGTTTTCGTCGCGGGGTTAAATGCAAACAACCCTTAAGGATCGTCACACGCTAGCACTTCATAAAACATTGGACAACCATAAATAAACAAGTTATCTATATTTTCTAATTATAATCTAAATTACATCAAACAATTTAGTTCTAAAATTCCAAGGTCGCTTACGTCCGAGGCGCTGCTATGTAGACTGTCACGTCGCGAAAAATGTAAAATTTTTTCTCTTAAAAACGACGATTTAGATTAGAACTGAAATTAATAATTATTAATCATATATATATATGTAGTCCATAAATGTTTATCTAAAATAAGCACATAAACTGTTTGTTTTTGCAGTGACACAGTTTTTTTGTCTACAATTTTATTATGTGTGTTTCTGATAATGCTGATAAAACCTTTGCGTTTTAAAATTTCCGGCCAAATGATTAAGAAATGAATGTGGGATTTTTTTTTAAATCGTGATTTAAATTTAATAAAATGAGGATCACTTCAGGTGCAGTTACAATAACGCGAAATTGGAATGGGGGGTGGTTCGCGGAAGCAGTATGGCTGGTACAAGGGTAGTTACAGTTTAATTAGCCTGGTATTAAACTGAAATCGGGAGGTTACACGCGCGGTTGTGTTAGGGCGTCGGTTGCGAAAGTTTAGTTCGGGACGGCTGTTTGCTAAGAAACAGTATGACAAGTCAGCAAACTTAAAGCTAACTTTAACAACAGCCAAGTGGTTAGTTAGTAATGTAAAAGTACAAATACAATGTGGGGTCGGAGGTCCCTGGAGCCCGATCGTAAGGTACATACACGTTTTGTTCCCAAACGGGAGGCGGTACGAAGTGGGGGGAGCCTGTAAGGGGGGGATGAACGTACGCAGTGAAGGTATTCTAGCTAACGCAAGTTTTCCCGAGTTTTGGTCTCAAGCAAACGTCTTTCAATATACATGTAGTTGGAAACGATGCCATAACCCTTCCAAGGGTGGAGGACGGGAGGCGGTTGATTGTTCCCTTAGGTGGAGACTAATTGTGTAGTAACAGCAAGAATCCGGGAGGTGAGGGTCGGAATTTGTTAAAACAAGCCTGGAAATCGGATAAATATCGACGGCATCCGCAGCCCCGACTATACGGGGAAATGACGGGGACATTAAGGCAACTCGGATCGTAAATTTTAATGCTCCCAACCCTGGCGC